TATCAAACATTTACATTAGTAATAAAAATGTCGTAGTGTCCCTTTGTTTGCTTTTTTCTTTTTCTTTTTCGTTTTCATTTTTTTTTCCCGAAGTGAAAGTGATGAAAGATTTCGACACGCAAACTAAAAAACATGTACGATTGAAATTCTCTTGAATTGCGGCTAACCAACGCGTGCCCCGTACGATGACGCGCAAAGGCAAGACCACTCGGTGGCCAATTGCATAAACATCAAACAACAATGTTTCATATAATCATTCGTTGGCTTAACAACAAATTATTTTTGATATATATATATAAAAATAAGATATCGAACTTTGTTCCGAAGTGCACAGCCATAGTGACTACGCGCTCAATTACTTCTAACACCTAAAAACCCATACCCCCCCTTTGCTGCCTCTGTGTATAATAACGTTAAGGATCCATCGAAGCACGATATATTTTTATAATGATATAATAATACATCCTTTTTTATTTCTTTTCTTTTCTTTTTTTTTTCCTTCCATTCCCTATCCTCAATCGTACTTTTCCATTCTCTCTTTTGTCTCTTAGGAAAGTTACATCTTGAGTTAAAGTTTCTCACTCTTTTTCCTTTCTTTTTCTTTTTTTTTTTCTTTTTTCTTTTTATATATATATCGTATTTCAATTGCAAGGGTGCACGGCTTAATTTTTATGCAAAAGGCCTTACATTTTGAAGAGCATCACCTGCATATACGCAAAGTATTAAATAAATTATAAATTATTGACTCTACCCATCCCCCCCTTCTATATGTTTCGTGCATTTCAGAATAGCATACAGGTAAGTTTTTGTTTGTTTATACATGTATATAACCATATACATATATATATATATATAGTTATCGCGAGAGAAGATTATCGTTAAATTACCATAAAGAGATGTGACCATTGTTAACTACGTTCGCGATCAGTAAGCTATATAACCGATTTTTTTACCATCTATCGTCGCTAAAGAGATATTTATTACTCGATACTCGCTTGAAATGAGCCGCACCTAGTCGAATCGATTTCTTGATTTTTCTTTTTGTCTTTCTTTTTATTTTTCTTTTTTTTTTTTTTATTTTTATAAATATCTCGCTTTGATGTAGAACAATTTCCGATTCAACTGTGTTCGTTAAAAAATATTATGAATTTTCCCTTACATAATAGGTTTCCCGGAAATCTATATGTTAAAATCGCACAATTCGATTTTAAATAATTTTTTCCGTTTGGTCAAAAGAAAGCGAGGGAAAATGAGCGAGAGGAAAAGTAAATCGTTTCCTCGTAAATCGGCTTCATTTCATGCGAGTACGAAAGAAACAAAGTACATTAAGAATATTACCCAAAAAGACCCACCATTCGACACAAATCGATAAATATTGTTGGTGAAATAGAAATGAATAATTGAGAAATTACTTTACTTAGCTCGAATGGCCGCTGATTTGCATCTAAGACGTCACTGCTGCACCTGCGTCGGCGGATAAGGATAACCATATGGCGGCACAGCCTGGAATTGGCCGTATCCCATCGATTGATAAGCGCAAGCTCCTGTATTCGGCGGTGGTCGGTTCGTTTGGAAGAACTTGTTATTGACGAGACTCTGAATTCCGGAATCGGTGTGTCCACCCGATGGCATGATAAACGCAGGCGGCATTGAATATACATTTTGACCGTTTTGACCACCACTATATCCATTTTGCCTACTGTTATAACGATTTCCTTGATAGCCCGTTCTATTTGGATATCGGAGAGCATTATTATTTTGATATCCTGGTTGGCAAGCACTACCATTAGATTGATATCCGCCTTGATAATTGTTATTAGGCTGACGTTGTTGCGGCTGTTGATGCTGCTGCTGCTGCTGTTGCGGTTGCTGTTGCTGATGCTGATGCTGATGGTGATGTTGTTGATGCTGTTGATGTTGATGTTGTTGATGTTGTTGATGTTGTTGATGCGATTGATGCTGTTGTTGCTGTTGTTGTTGTTGTTGCTGCTGTTGTGGATGTGGCTGTTGTTGATAAACAGACGGCTGATAAGTGCTCTGACGAGTGGTTTGATAACTATTTTGTTGGCGTATATTCATCCTTTCTGGATTTGTAACGCTTTGATGTTGATTGGTTTGAGTCTGATGATTTTGCCAACTGTTTATTGTTGGACTATTGTTACTTCTAGGACTTCCACCAGAATTGTTATCCTTGGTAAAGCGACCATAACTCCAACGTTGTCGACCCTTGCCAAATTGATTTCTAATAGAATTAGCCATGTCTGCTAATTGAGGATTTATTACTTGACCAGCTTCTTCCAAAACAGATATCAATTCTTTAGCTTGTCTTGCATTGTTCGAAGTAAAGTAAGCGTAAGCCGTTCCTGCACTTTGGCAACGTCCAGTGCGACCTATTCTATGAATATAATCCTCCGAACTATTTGGATAATCGAAATTAATAACGTATTTGACATCTTCTACATCCAAGCCACGTGCAGCAACATCGGTTGCAACTAAAATCATAGTTTTTCCATTTCTAAATTCAGACAAGACGTAATCTCGTTCAGGTTGTGATTTGTCACCATGAATAGAAATCGCTGACCAACCTTCTCGTTTAATAGACTTTGTAATATCGTCTACTTTCTTTTTTGTTTCAACAAAAATAATAACTTTGCTTCCACGTTCGCCACCGATCTCTCTCAATAGATTGGATAGTTTTGATTCTTTTTCATGTTCCTGACAAATCTCAATGATTTGACGAATATTATGATTTGCAGCAAGAGTCAACGAACCAATATTAATCTGAATGTAATCGGTAAGAAAGTCCTCTGCAAGTGCTTGTACTTCTTTGGGCCATGTTGCTGACCACATAAGAACTTGACGATCTGGTCTAATCTGTTCTATTATCTTTCTTATTTGAGGCTCAAATCCCATATCTAACATTCTGTCAGCCTCATCGAGAACAAGATATGTGCATCTTCGTAAATTCGTAGTTCCCTTTTCTAAAAAGTCAATGAGTCTTCCTGGTGTAGCGATACAAATTTCAACACCTCTTTCAAGATCCCGTGCTTGTGGTCCCTTCGGAGAACCTCCAAAAATGCACGTATTTCGAATGCATGACGAAGAACCGAAATCTTTAGCTACTGATTGGATTTGTTGAGCCAATTCTCGGGTTGGTGCAAGGACTAAAACGATTGGACCATCACCTCGGTTCAATCTAGGTTGATTATTAATATGTACAGTTGCTGGAAGGATGTACTGAAAAAAAAAGAAAAGAAAAATCAATAGATAATATATTTTAGTAATCTTCCCAAACAATTATCAAAATGTAATAATATTATAATTTATCACATGCAGATAACCGATGCAAATTATAAATCAGGTTCACTTCTATAATAATTTTTTTGTAAAACTATTTTTGATTAAAATAAGAAAAAAAAACATTACAATAACAAGAAATTGAAGACTACAAAATGTACATACCGCTAAAGTTTTTCCAGAACCAGTTTGAGCAATGCCAACCATATCACGTCCACTTAAAGCGATCGGCCATCCTTGAGCTTGAATTGCAGTAGGCTCAGCAAATCCTTGTTTCTTTATCTCCTCCATTACATAATCTGGGAAATTGCTTTCTTCAAAAGCTTGAATTGGAGGTGGAGTGTTATTTCCTTTAACAGTAATTTCTTTTCCAGCATGAAATTTATTAATTTCTTCAGATGTTCGATTTAAAACATTAACATGTGGAATATACAGATTCTTTGTAATAACTGGAAGTGTAGCTAAGTCCCAATTAGGTTTCTTTAATAAATCTCCTGGTATTTTTTTCTGATTTTGTTTCTTTCCATTATATTCTTTCTGAGTTTGTTGCTGACCATTCCAATATGCTGTACCTCCACCATTTCGATTACTAAAATCTCTACTTCCCCTCGACCTATAACTAGCAAATACAAATTTTAGTTACTTAATATAAATAAAAAAACAAATGAAATTCCTTTAGATTGAGCAATATTTCATCAATGTTTTAATGAATCTATTATTTTCATCATTGTACGACAGTTATTATTCTCACTTTGGAAATATATTTTTATATACGATTTACATTCTAGTTTTTATATATAATACATATATAATATTTATGCATATTTTGCAGTGATTACTTTCAAATATAAACAAAACAAAAAAACAAATGAAAATTTTATTTCACGTGTACACCAATATGGTGTCTTTGTAAACAACAATTCATTGCATAGTTTAACCAAAAATAATAATATTTGATTCTTGAATAGAAGTATAATGCTACCAAACGAATCGTCATTTGGAACTATGTCTAACAAAATGGCTGACACAAGTCGAGTATAAAAAAATTCAGTCATTGACTCTTAGCAAATAAATTTTTAGTAACTAACAAATTAATATTTACAAATTTTATCAACTTTTGTAATTATTTAGAAACAAAGTCTACCTTGTTTGGTTGCTATACGCTGTAGTGTACATTTCAAATGTTTGAACAAGCAGTAGTAGCTTTCTGCAACGTACAATTATCCTTCCAACTAATCGATGTCAACTCTGTTTAGAAGATCTGCACAATTGAAAAATAGATTAATATCAAATTTCAATAATAGCTTATAAAGATGACGTATCATTGCTAACTCGAGCACGAGAGGGAAAGAGATAGAGAGAGAAAGAGAAAGAGATGAAAAACTAATATTTCTTCTATATTTTAAAAAACAAGGACACGTACCTTTCCCAACCCGGCAAACAGAGCGACAATGGCTGACAGATCTTGAGAAGACGGAAATGGCCGGCCAAGGAACATTTCCGATCAGTGAACGATCACGTGATCAACTTCTACGCATTTACGTAGATTTGATTGGTCAGCTCGTAGCGAGTCTACTATTTTATGAATTCGTTCGCCAATGAACGGACAAGAACACGGATCGATGAATATCTTAACCCTGGGAAAGCTATTTCTGACATGCGCATGAAGATTGGATCTGCTTTGCTACGATATTCCTACGCCTCCCACTACAAACTAGAAGTAAAATGAATATATATTGGAATATATTTTTTTTTTTATTGAAACACTGATTCACCGTTTCGAAGTTCTTTTTTTTTAATTCGTTAGTTCGTTCATGTGTGGACAAGTGAATAAAAAAATGAGTGTGTCGGATACAGTGAAATTATTAATGGATGCTTGCGAACAAATTCGACATGATCTTCAAATTATTATCGATCAAACGGAAAAACAAAAACTGGTTCTACGCCATATAAAAACATTTGCTAATACTGACGCTTATGTAAAGGACTTCCCAAAAGGTTATCTTATTTTTTATACAAATTTTTCGTATTGTTCTTAAATTTTAAATAATTATTTGATATTAGTTTGATAATAGTTTAATATGTTGCGATAAATTAAGATTTATGATAGAAAGGCGAAAGGTTTTCGTTATTATATTTTATTTTATTAATATGCTTATTAACGTGCTTATAACATAATTACTAACCTGCTAGTAAACCTTTTGTATTGTAATACCTACACGATGAATATATTAAGTGATCGATATTACTTAAATTTTTTCTTTTATTGTTTGAACTTTTTATGATCAAACTGCAAAAAAGAAAATAAACGATTTACAAATACTTTGTAAATAATTAGAATACAACATTGTAGACCTTAATATGCTATCTTCTTTTATGTTCAAAACTAACAATCGAAACTATATCAATAACCTTATGATTGTCTTCTCTTTTATTCAATATTATGTACGCATTGAGAATGAGTATATATATATCATAAACATGGTATGGCCTTTTATCGATTGAATCATAGGTCTGAACACATTGATTCTTCTGTCACAATGTCTTCCTCATTCATTGATGATACTTTGGATGGATATAAGGAAAGTGTGGAGAAGGACACATCGATGATAGTGCCAAATAAAAAGCAGTTGGAATTAAACAAAATTCCATTAGAAGATGAAAAGAAACAACAGTTCTTCAAACTTCTTCACCTTGAGAAGAAATTGGACACAGAATTTACCAACTTGAAAACTTCAAGAGAAAAATATCCTTCCATGAAGCAAACTACAAACCTTTTGCATGAATATAATGATATGAAGGATGCAACCCAAGTTGTATTTGGTGCTATGGCTCAAATAAATAATATCACAGTTAAGAGTTTACATAAAGATTATGGTTTACCTACTAATGACAGCTGAAGGCTTTGCTGATCGTACAGTCATCTTCATCTTCAAATACTAACTTTGTTTATTGTTAAAATGCACTACTGTGATATATTTTTTGTATAATAAAAACCACTTTATTCGATTATGAACATTATTTAAAATGTTTTAATACAATTGCTTCTGTCTATTACGTTTAAATGTGGTCATATAAGATTATGTATATACACAGTGAAGTAATTTCTTTAAATGCTAGGCTTGGAATGGTTCAATGTCTCGGAGAATCTCTCCATGAAGAAACACCTCCATGGGAAAATAATTATATTAGACTTTTTTACTTACTGCTGTATCAACTGTATGCATATTCTGCCTGATTTGGAAGCATTAGAAAAGGAATTCTCTATAGAGTTAGGTTTAGTTGTGGTTAGTGTATATTTTAAAGTATCAAATATTTTTATATTTATATAAAAATTTTACTTTTTTATATTTTATTTCTTAAAAAATAATATACTAATAATATATCTTACAAATTGTGCACATTATAAGAACATGAAAATATGTTTAGTATTGTTCCTTCAGATTGGTGTTCACAGTGCAAAATTTTTTAACGAGCGTGATTCAACAAAAATAAGGTCAGCTGTGCAAAGGTATAATATAATGCACCCTGTTGTTAACGATGCAACACTTTCAATGTGGCAAGATATTGGAGTAATTTGCTGGCCAACAATGATAATGTTAGGTATGCATAAATACTTGTCAAATACTGATCAAATTTTGATATAAAATTTTTCACTTATGCAAGACATTAGAATTAATGGAAATTTTAGGTCCAAGAGGGCAACCGTTAGTAATTATACTAGGTGAAGGTCATAGAGAAGAACTATTTTTATACACAAAAGTTGCACTTGATTATTTTACATCAATAAATGAAATATCTGACCATGCTCTTCCTATAGCACCAGCTATACATTTGTTACCAGCTTCAACTGATCTTTTACGATTTCCTGGCAAAATAGAAATTTATTCTTCTGAAATGGGAGAAAAATTAATTATATCAGATACTGGCAATAATAGAATTTTAGTAACAGATATTTATGGGAACATAAAACATGTTATAGGTGGATATAATCCAGGCTATATAGATGGTAATTTTAAAGAAGCCAAGTTTAACGCACCTCAGGGTACTTGCGTACTCAATGAGATGATATATGTTGCTGATAATGAAAATCATGTTATTCGAAAGGTAATTTTAATACGAATTTATTTTTAATTTATATTAAATTTATGTAACTTTATAAACGTTCTATGATTCCTTTTATTTATAATACACATCTATTTTAGATTGATTTGAAAAAACAAACTGTGACTACCGTGGCAGGCACAGGAAAACAAGGTCATGATTATAAAGGAGGAAAATTTGGTACAGATCAAACACTTTCTTCTCCTTGGGATGTGACAATATATCATTATAATAGTGGCAAAGCTGTTGTACCGATTTTACTGATTGCAATTGCAGGCACACATCAGATTTGGGCACTCTTTTTAGAAGATACTATTTGGTGGAAAAATAAGTAAAATAAGTTTAGCATTTTATATTTGGAATGAAATATTCATTTCATTCAATTATCATCTTTTTTTCTTATTTTACTATTTATTTATTTTATTATTTATTTAACAGATTATACAAAGCTGGTACATGCGCTGCTATTGTTGGAAACGGTCGAGAAGGAAATCGTAATAATTCGTATCCTCATGCAGCATCGTTGGCTCAACCATCTGGTCTCGTAATTGCTCAAGAGTATAATGCTGCATTTTTTGCTGATAGCGAAAGTAGTAGTATCAGACAAGTTCACTTAGAAGATGGGAAAGTTTCTACATTATGTGGTGCTAACAAGAATCCACAGGTTAATTATATGATACAATATAGTGACTATGTTTTTAATGAGTAATTAATAGAAATTATGTGAATTCTTTTTCAGAACTTACATGACTTTGGAGATATCGATGGTACTCGTCATAATGCAAAACTTCAACATCCTTTAGGAATAACATGGAATTCTGTTCAACAAGAAATTTATATAGCAGATACTTATAATCACAAAATTAAAAAAGTAGATCTCGCAGGAAATTGTAAAACATTGTATGGTGCTGGCAAGCCAAGTGATACGTTCTCTGTAAGAGATAGTTGATCTATTTTATATGTTACAAATTTTTTTGTATAGGAACATGTTTTATTAAAAATATGATCTTCTAGTTTGATGAACCAAGCGGACTTGTGATAAATAACAGTGGGGACACTTTATATGTAGCAGATACGAACAATCATTCCATTAAAAAGATCGATTTAAAAAGTAAAACCATTTCGTCCGTGAGTATAAAATAGCTAATAAACTAATCAAGATTAATTGTAATTTTTATTCATAATTTAATATTTATTCGTAATTTTTTAGATTTCCTTCGTTCTCCCAATCGAAGATGATGATAATGTTAATGAAGAGTATACTTTTGATACACTTATAAATGCAAATGGGGGAAAGCTTACAATCACATTCGAAATTATATTTGAAGGTGATTTGAAGCTGAATTCTGAAGCACCTCAAAAATGGTCACTCTTGTTACCAAAAGATACTTGGATGGCCAAATCTCTGAGCGGCTCGCTTACAACACCAACGTCAATTCAAATTCCTGATGGTTCTGAATGTAATAATTTACGCTTTATTTTGGATATTATAACTTGTAATATCAATGAATGTATACCAAAAAAGATATTGGTAATATTTAAAGTGCAGCAAAATGTGGATGGACCTCGTACTGTCATCGAACATAAAAAAATCATCATAAAAAAATAATAAGATATATCAATTCATTGATGAAGGTTTTTTGCTGTTTATGTAAAAAATATACCAGTGTTTTGTTGGTACAACACAAATATTTAGTTACGCGCGTAATCTTTTAATTGAACTAATTTTTCAATGGTTTTATTACGACCAGAATAATATTATCAAAGAGTAACATTATTTAATTTAATAGAAAATTCTTTAGCATTCTAGATTAGACAGTTTTCTAGATTAATAATAAATTAATATTCCTCTCCTCCTTCGCCCTCACCCTCAACCGAATCCAAACCAACTTCTTCGTAATCCTTTTCCAATGCCGCTAGATCTTCTCGTGCTTCTGAAAACTCACCTTCTTCCATACCTTCTCCTACATACCAATGTACAAAAGCACGTTTCGAGTACATAACGTCAAATTTGTGATTGAGTCTACTCCATGCTTCGGCGATGGCGGTCGTATTAGCCAGCATGCAAATCGCGCGTTGAACTTTGGCGAGATCGCCGCCAGGTACAACCGTAGGTGGTTGATAATTTATACCGACCTAAAAATGATAAATTGCGATCCTAATTAACGAGTAGCGAATTAACGAATAGAATCAAAATAATAAAATTGGTAAAATTCATGGAGCCTATTGGAACGTGTGCATGCCTTAAATCCAGTTGGACACCAATCAACGAATTGTATAGTACGTTTGGTTTTGATAGTAGCAATCGAGGCATTTACATCCTTCGGCACAACATCACCTCTATACAACATGCAGCAAGCCATGTATTTACCATGTCGTGGATCGCATTTTACCATTTGGTTGGCCGGCTCGAAGCAAGCATTAGTCAACTCTGCTACCGTCAACTGTTCATGATACGCTTTTTCGGCCGAGATAACCGGTGCGTAAGTGGCAAGTGGAAAATGAATTCGGGGATAAGGTACCAAATTCGTTTGAAATTCGGTAAGGTCAACGTTCAGGGCACCATCGAAACGCAAAGACGCAGTAATAGAAGAAACAATCTGGCCGATCAAACGGTTCAGATTTGTATAAGTTGGCCTCTCTATGTCGAGATTACGCCGGCAGATATCGTAAATCGCTTCATTGTCTACCATAAAAGCGGCATCTGAATGCTCGAGAGTCGTATGAGTAGTTAGTAAAGAATTGTATGGCTCGACTATCGCCGTGCATATCTGGGGCGACGGATAGATAGCAAATTCAAGTTTTGATTTTTTTCCGTAATCAACAGATAATCGTTCCATCAAAAGGCTGGTAAATCCGGATCCGGTACCACCACCAAAAGCGTGAAAAATAAGAAATCCTTGGAGTCCCGTACATTGATCAGCTAATTTGCGTAATCGATCTAATACCAAATCTACAATTTCCTTGCCTACGGTATAATGACCTCTCGCATAATTATTTGCTGCGTCCTCTTTCCCTGTGATCAGCTGTTCCGGATGAAAGAGTTGCCTGTAAGTTCCTGTACGTACTTCATCTGAAATATAAAAAAGAACTTGTTAAAAAATAACATAAAGATAATCGAAAAATCATGAAAATCACAATACACAAAAAGGGGATGATAATGATCATACCTACTACAGTAGGTTCTAAGTCCATAAAAACAGCTCTTGGAACGTGTTTTCCTGCACCTGTCTCGCTAAAAAACGTATTGAAACTGTCGTCCCCTCCTCCTACTGTTTTATCTGAGGGCATTTGCCCATCGGGTTGAATTCCATGTTCCAAACAGTATAATTCCCAACAGGCATTACCAATCTGAACTCCACCTTGCCCTACGTGCACTGATAGACACTCACGCTATCCATCAATTTTAAGTAAACTCGAATCAGTCATAATGAGTAATACAAACATTAATAGATCATTAATTGATAAATTGTCAATCCTTGATAAATTTTGTACAAGTGACTTACCATTTTTTACGTTTAATTATTTTGCTACTTTATTTTTCAATTATGACGAAATAAAAACGGTTATATCTTTTCGTATAACGCTTCCTTTTGCAGCTATCCTTACGTTTCTTGTCCGTCGATATCTATCAATATGTCCGCAAAAATTGTTTATAAAACAATAGAAAACGCAAGATGATCGTATCGATGGATATTTATTGTTTTTTTTTCCATACATATTTTTTTATGGATATAGTTATATATTATAAAAACAAAACATAACGAAAGATTTTAATTGCAGTGATTTCCTTCTTCGCTATTTTTACATATCTTTTTTTTTCTTCGATTCAAATAACAATGTTTGTAAAGGAACTCGTCAGGTTTCTGATATACGCTAGTATCTTGCTCGAAAATCGACAATCTTGTTTGTTTCGGGAATATGTAGAGAATAATTATATATATAATATATATATGTTAGTACGATTTTATAAACAAGTTTATATATATTCGATTTTCTATTGAATTTCTAATATATTTCAAGACTATATGTAGTTTTATCGTGTGGTAATGGTGAAATCTTAATTCAATATAAAGAAATTTACTATTACAGAATAATTACGATTATACCTTTTCCACCATCCTTGCGGCGAATCGTTTGATAAGGGTAAGCAATATTTTATATTTAATTCTTGCCTCGTTTTTTTTGACCAATTTTCATTTAACCATGGCTGATAATGTGTAGGTTCATCATAGGCTTTCCGACAATTGCTTATAATCCACTCGACTTTCGTTTTAGTTGGTATTTCGATTATCTTCAAAATGTTCCATACATTTGGTAGATTTGAAATAAATGGAATAGAAAAAATTCGCGCAGAAAAGTTTTTTGTTTGCTGATTCAACGAAGAAATAGGAAAATGATCAATGATGATATTTGTACCTTTGTTGAATCATATGACATGATACAATGAGTATTCGGATAATATATACCGCAACCCACATCGTAACAAAAGAGAGGAATTATTTTGGCCGGTTGACAATTGGTTTTTAGCGTTATTCTCGCAGGTCTCAAGCCAGTCGTGATACAAGCATAAAATCTGCATGAGAAAAATTAGAAACTTTGACGATAATATCAGGGTTACTGTAAATTATAGAAACGTGTTACGCCAACCGTCTGTCAGGAAATTGACAATATTCCCAGCCATCTTCAGCGAATATCAAACCATCCTTGAATCTGTACCGCTTAGTTTTCAGCTTGCCAGATATCCAGACCCCATCTATGCTCTGTCCGCATGGCCAGGACATGGTTCCGTTTCCGTGAAATTTGTCATCGCGAAATTCACCCTCAAAGACGGTTCCTGTATATTTTTTTATTTTTTTTAATACATTTATAAGATTTATAATGTGTCCGTAAAGATTGTAAAGATAAATTTTTAATGAAATTTATTAATGAAATTTATTAATAAAATTTATTAATAAAATTATTAATGAAATTTAGATTGATTTTAAAATATAAAATAAGTTTGAAAATATCCCATTTCCGTTGCTTAAAAAAAATAGTATACACTTTGGTATAGATATCATTTTGCTTGGTAAATATCACCTTATAAATATTGACACGAAAAATTAAATATTATTAAAAAGAGGAATACTTTATTTATTTATTAACCATTCGGTAAAATGTATCTTCCAATTCCTACCATGCTGACTGCGTCCCAAGTACCGTTGTAATTACTTCCATTGATAAAAAAACTTTCCCTCCAAAATAGGTCATTGAAATTTTTTTCGACTTTGACATCTAGTTCATCGTCCTCGTCCTGCTCTATAAGGATACTTAAAGCTTTTCCTTTATTAAAGTACTTATTATTCTGAACTTGTTCTACACTTTTCATCGATATTGAAGTACTTGTTGATTTAATTTCAATATTTTGTGCTCTTGAAACAGCCTGTATAAAAATAATTTGTTAGAATAAATATATTTTACTATATTCGAAATATAATTTTTATCTCAAGAAAATCGAATATTCCTTTCCCGACCAGATCCAAATCCTGATTAATAGTTTCCAAAATCAATTCATGATAATGATTATCCATATCAATTGTTAATATTATCACCAAGAAATGGATTTGAAAAACCCTCAATTAGATGGAAATATTTATGAATTAAATATTTATATTTCAATTACGATTTATCTGGAAAAAAATGAGTATCAGCTGATATATCCGATTGAATTAAACGTCAATCAAAGAGAGTCTAAATTTGTTTTGTCAACTCATTTTTCGAAGTTTTCAAGATCACTTTCAGTTTCTTATAGATAAATCTATAATATTTTTTTACATCTATTTTTTAACGAATACTGAGACGAATTCGGCAAGTATCATAAATAAAAAAGTATATATATATTTTTTTTACATCTAAACCGAAGAAACATTAAAAAAATATCCTTTACCTTAATTAAAACGGTGTTAAAAATTGTGTTCCGTCAGTTGCAATAAAATTGCGTAGACGGTAAATAAATAAAATAAAAGACTGTTTAATTCTTTTTATGGCATTTGCATCGATACTAAACATGCATTTACAATTCTCCGGCATTATTAGAATTTTATCATAAATATTTACTTTGAATGTATCCCGTAAAAACAAATCTAACAGAGAAACACTTCTTCCAATATTATTAGATGTAGTTTAAATGTACAGAAAGAAATGTTTACCAACATTATTGCGAAAGATCAAATGAATAACAACTAAATACTGATCTATCAACAACTCTGAAAAGTATATAACAACATAGCATGCGATATTTCACATTAAATTCTTTCAACTAGAATATTTGTTGTAATTTCAGATGGAAAAAAATATATATTTGTTACGATACTTGCCGAATTCGTCTCAATATTCGCTAAAAGATAGGTGTAAACAAAATTATAAGATTTATGTATAAAAAAAAACTGAGGATGACCTTGAAAACTTCGGGGAGGAGGACAAGAAAAAATTTACTACACCATCTTAGAGCTCTCTTTGAATCATCTTAATAACGGATAAAAAAATTTTCAATTGGTCCACTAATAATGGAATAATCTAAAAAAAAGAAAGGAATTTTTCGTGCAGTAAAATAAAATCCGATTTGTTTCTTGCGTGATAAATCACGTTTAAACATAAAAAAAAATATTTTTCTTCGTGTATTGAGGGAAAAAAGCATCTATTCTCTTTTTTTTTAGAATGACACACGAGATACAAACTGCGATCAGCGTACGGGACGTAATACAAATATATGAAAATCTTCAAATGTGTGATTGAACGAATACGTTCGGTCTATGTGCAATATGAGCGTCCCGACTTACTATCAACAGTGTGGTGGTCACGAATTTGGAATGTTAGCTACGATCGTAGTCTCGAAGTCAAGTGACTCGCAACCGGTCAGCCAATGTGTACCGTTAATCGTTGGTATAATCATCGGCCTGGATTACGACGCACGCCGTCTTAAAACCCGTGCACCGATAGAATACGCGCTCTCAATATATAAAGGAATATAGCACGGACACATTTCAAACATATATCTTACCGTATCTGTCCTTTTGTACTCTACGAATTTGATCATAGATAAATACATATCTATCTAATAAATATACTTATAATCCTTTCTAATTATAAGAGTGTATATATGTATATTTAGCTTGTTTGTTTATTATATACACTCATATATTTAGCTCAAGATAGTGCAATGCAATTCTAAAAAATCCTTATCCGGGATTTTGACTTTGTGCGATTAAATGAAGAATGATCAGAGAAAGAGAAAACAGAGAGAGAGAGAGAGAGAGAGAAAGACAGAAAGGGAGACAGAGAGAGAGAGAGAGAGAGAGAGAGAGAGAGAGAGAGAGAGAGAGAGAGACAGACAGAAAGGGAGACAGAAAAAGAGACAGACAGAGAGAAAGAGAGAGAAAGAGAGAGATCTAATAGCTGACACGCTCGAATCGATTCGAAGGAACGAAAAGAAAATCGTCATTCGACATGTTTCAAATCGCTCAAATCGTTCAAAAAATAAAAAGAAACGTACAAAATAACATAGGGCATAGAAATAAGAGCGAAAAAAAAAGAAAATGAGAGGCAAAGATGGAATGAAAAGAAAAGGAAAGAGAGAAAGAAAGATAGGGAGAGATAGAGGAAAAAGAAAAAGCGTACAAATCATATACCGCCGATCTTCTTCGAAGTCATGTTCAAAAGGAGAGGAGAGAGAGAAAGAGAGAGAGAGAGAAAAGGAAGGAGTCGAAGGAACGAACAGGAGGAGAGAAGCGGGACGACTTCGAAGGTAGGGGAAAAATTGAAAGAGAGAAAGAGGAGAGCAGTCATGGTAAGTAGAAGGAAAAGGAGGGGTAAGAAGGAGGAGAGAAACAGGAGAAGAGGACGAGTAGTAGCAGGAATATAAGCGTCTTCGGTAAGGTCACTATCCTTAGTCGTTGCGGCAAGGTCAACCGCAAGATCGTTCGTCTCGGTTGCAGTTCCTTAGGAGGCCTCACGAGCGTCGTGGAAAGTCGTTCGAAAGGATTAGGATACACGGACGTATATAACGTAACCGGAGAGGATAATTTGAAGAAAGAAAGGGTGGTGGGAGGGAACTAAAAAGAGAAAAGAAGAAAAGAAAATAAATAAAGAAAGAAAGGATAGGACAGTAAGAACGAGAGAATCAGAGGCAGAGGGATAAAAAGAGAAGAGTAACAAGAGAAAGAAAGAAAGAAAGAAAGAGAGAGAGAGAGAGAGAGAGAGAGAGAGAGAGAAGAGAAAGAGAGAAAGTCTGTTGAGAGTGCGTGTGTGCGAGAAAGAGAAGCGGAAAACGAATAGACCAAGGAAAAAAACAAAGAATCAAAATTCGTAGCAACGATGAGGTTAAATAACATCCCTTCTGCGTTATTTCGATAAGAATAACGTTCGACTACATTTCGCCGGAAATAATAGTAAAAAGAATCATTCATAAAATTGAATCGCACGTAGTTAAATAATTTCTCGAAATTCGCAAAGCACATCATGTTTTTCATCAAGAAAGAAACCGGTCGATATACGATCGATATGTCTGTAAGTTTTCGTACAAAGTATTAGTAACAAAATTGAAAACGATACGTGTGTATGATAAAACGTCTTGTTCATATTCACGTTCGATAAAACCTTCGAATGTCTACATTAAATTTGCGCGGTATTTTCTCAAATGAACTCGAAGTAAATTCGACCCATCGAAAATCGCATTATGAACTCTGTCTGGCTCAAAAATGAGGCTTTATTTCTTTTCTTTATTTTATAGGTTACTAGAAACTTTCGTACTCGTCAAGGGAGGCAAGCTTTAACAGTACTTGTCATTCTCTTGACAAGCATATTTTCATCGTGCAAGGCTTCGTCGCTGTCAAAGGTCACGGCCGGTGGATTAGATGGCACTGAAAAATTATGGGATGAGCGTAGGTCAGCAAAATGATTTACGAAATTCCATTTAATTTTATGGCTAATATTATAATAATAATTAATATAATTAATTAATTATTTAGTTGCTTCTAAAAGAATTTAAATATGAAACAATTCGTTACGACTAGAATATCCGTAAAATTTTTAGTAACGCTTCGAAAAACGCTTCGGATTACAAGAGGGACGAGAATAAGAATTCAATAAGACGGGATTTGCCAGCTTCGCCAGCAGAGCTGTTGAAACCAGACAAATTTCTATTCTACACGTACAACGATCAGGGGAACATGATCACGAAGCAAATGAGTTTACGTGAGATACAGACTCTAATCGCAAGTGGAAACGGCGGGCACGTTGCGATGGAGATATATGATCCTCATAAATCTGGTGATCTGTTGAATGGAGAAAAGAAGGTAAGACGGTCTTGTTGATATATTTACACTGAAAAACGGCATTATCTAATTTTTTAATTTTTTTAAATATTATGATACAAATAAAAAAAAAATTATCTTATTCTAATATTATCCAAGTTAAAAATTTAATATAGACGATCACCAAAGACGACTTTATTGAAATGGTTACTTTTCTAATTTTTCTTGATTCGCAGGTGATGGATGTAGTTGAAAAGGTGCAAAATGTATTAAAAAGTGCATTGGATAAACCATCGACTATGGCTGGTTCGTTATCAACTATTCCAGAATACGCAAATGCCGAATGGAGTAGCATTTTACCTGGTATTCTGACCAATAGCGATATCGAAACTGATCCTACATCGGAAGAACCTAATTACGTAGAAATTACAAGACCTGATTCACTTATGCAAGAGATATCGGAAACTTCGTTGAATCAAGAAACTCAATTGTCTACGTTAAAACCTCCGATGTTAACTAATCCAGAAACATCTGAACAATTGGTCAACGGTGTCATTTCAACAACTAGCAGCTTCCCATTAACATCAATCATAAATGAGAATAATTTTTCGACGATTATTAGTTACGGCGAAACGAAATCTCCAGATAAATATACTGAGAAACCAATGATTCCAGTACCAGTGATCACTACCGAAGGAAAACCATTCACCGATCAGTTAGAGATAATCGATAATTCGATGTATCAAACATCGAGTACAAAATCCACTCTCGAGTTTTCTGACATCGTTCACTTGCCAATGGAGGAGATGAATAATGCAACGATATTCGAAAAAGTTCCAGTCAAGGTTTGGGACGAATTGGAACAAAACGTGACCTCTGACGAGTCGAGCATTAGCCGAGTAACGGAATATGTACCGATTTTGACTATGTTGGTGGGATCAACGGTGAACGACTCATTTATCCAAGCAACGAACGAAGTGTTGTCATCCACTGAAAATGATATAACGAAAAAAGTAACGGAAGCAATGTCATTGGAAACATCGACTGTAAGAACAAATACCAAGATTAGTCAATCTGAAAGTGTCACGATATTATCTGAAGACACGATCACCGACACGGTCACGCCAACTGTTATTACGCATGCACAAACGGAATCGAATGAACATTTATCTAAGAGCAATATTACCACGCAATTTTTCGACAATAGAAACGTAACGATATCTGAAATATCAGAAGTAACAACTCCTCCCGTTCTTTCTTCAATAATTTCAACATCGACATTATTACCGACAAAATCAACAAACGATGAACAGTTAAATATTTCACAATTATTCAACTTGGCAATGAATGTGACTAAAGGAATCGATTTTTCAACATTGATACCACCTGATGATTACTTTAATGTTTCATTGTCAGTAAATTCACCTGATAATACATCGGAAGGAATATTCATTAGTACGATTACAGATTCTGATGGCTTTTCAGAAACGACAGACCTTCCTGTTGTCGTAATCGTTACGAAGAATATTACTTTAAATCATGAAACAACTTTTAAGCCTACTGATAGTTCAACATCCGACGTTGATATGGATAAGTATGATGGAAACCGTGATAGTTTGACGAATAAGTTAGAATCAATCGAAACGAACGAGAAAGAATTTCTCGCGATAGAAGAACAGACATCTCTGGTCGAAACGGAAATTTCGAAAATAAATGATATATCTACTGTACAACCTACAGTAGCAAGCAATATGATGAATTCGACATTAACATCCACTTATATAACGGAGACAAATTTCGTTCGGATCGATAGTCCATCAGTTGATCCTTCTACCTTATCCAATATGATTCCTGAATCTACTATGGCTACCAAGATTACCTTCATCAATGATTTAGTAAGTAATACTTCCACTGAATCAAATATCTATGTTACGAGTACAACAACAGAATCTGTAGTCAAAGAACTAATGAACGATACGAAGGAAACTTTAAAAACAAATACAACTTCGGTACCTGTGTTACCCACCAATGAAGCAAACTTTATTAATTATCACATTGAAGATTTCATTGAAGATAATTCTTCATCTTCTACGAGCCAACATACAATAACAACATCGTTTGTATCTAATGAACTGGATACAGCTACTAATTTGATAAAAACCAATGATATGAGGACGACTGAGGCAGGAATTAAGAATACCACTATGAGCTCACAGATAGAAACATCGTATACAACACCAATTAGCGATATAATTACACATAACGTACAAACTACCGAAAGCTATTCAAACAATAAGACTTCTTCAAGCCTGAATCTCGATGTAACGAATAAGGAATCTTCGTTTGTACGACATCAGAACGATCTCATTGAATCGTTAAATTCAATAACGACGTTATTACCTGCGGAGCAAGAAACTGGAACTGATAAGACGGTCATAAATGTCACAACAGGAACGTATACCACCTTATTGACTTCAGACACAGTACCTGTAGTAGTTCAAGAACACATGACGACTTTAATTGCCGGTGAACAATCCGTCACGGAAACTTTATTAAATATTCATGACAACGAGCTGAAAAATCATACCGGCTTTGAATTGGAAGCATCGTTAAAAGCAAACGAATCTCGTTATTCCGATTCAAAGGAAAATACATCTACGCAGAGGTATTCTACTCCTTATGTAAAATTGAATATCACTTTTACGAATGATTTTTCTTCAACCGAAGCGAGTAACGTATCTATAGACAATGTGATTACAACGAAGATTTCGGAGAACACGGAGTCAATGTCAAATAGTACTACAAAAAATCCATCACAGGATTTGTATGTTCAGGTAAACAAAACGATCGAAGAACTGATGGAGAACATTACAACGATAAGTGAATCAAATTGGATGATAGACCAAGTAATGACTAACATTAGTACAAATACAAAAGGTAATAATACAAACGGAACATCGTCAGAGATAATGGATAATAATACGAATGACAATACGAAGGTACAAGTAGAAAGTAATGAATCAATTTTTCTACCTTCGCGTGTTATTGAAAAAGTATCGTCGTCGGAATTATTGTCACCGTCTGTATCAATGACAACGAAGAACTCATTAGATTCGCAATCGACTTCGAAAACCAGTTACAATGAGAATATGAATGAAAGTTATTCGGAGGATAGGAAACAAATGAAAAATGGTTGTTGATACCTCATAAAGTAGTCGCATCATCGATCGTCGAAAAAACTACCGTCCATCCAACGACTCAAAAGATCGTACAGAATATAGCACATACCTCAGATGCACGCTTACCCGCTTTAACATCGGAGATAAAATCGAATGAAAATATACCGTTAGATTCTCCGGCAAGCGTAAACGCTTTAGATGTTACCGTGACGAAGACTGAAAGCGACATCGTTAATTTCTCGAAAATGTGCAATAATTTAGCTTTCGATTTCTGGATGGCGGCTAATAAGGGCCTAAGTACAAACAGATCCCTGGTTCTTTCGCCCTTCGGTATGGTCAGTCTACTGGCCATGATATTTTTAGGAGCACGAGGAACGACCTCCGATCAAATGAACGAATTACTTAAGTTGGACGACGTAGCCACCTTTAATCCACATTTGGTGTTTCAAAACGTAACCGATATGGTGGGATTGACGAGAGGACAAGGGATCACAAATGCTGCCTTCGTTCGTGAACTTTTCGTCGATAGAGCGAGAGTCAGAAAAACTTTGCCATTTTACAAAGAACAAGCCCAACAGTTTTACGAAGGTCTTGTTGCCGAGGTGAACTTTGCTACCATTGGTGATATTGTTCGAAGACGAACAAATTTACTAGTTAGAAAGCAAACAGGTGGTAGGATAAAGGACTTTATAAAGGCTAACACGGTACCACTACGATCTCCTTTAGCTGCTGTATCAGCCAATGTTTTCCAAACTAATTGCAATTCCAGTTTCGTAAGTTCCGAAGGAAGAGATGGCGAATTATATTTTGCCGTGTCGCCGGCTATCAGACAGAGAAAATTGATACCTGTACCGGCTATAGTCTGGCGATCGAATATACTTGCAGGTTACGAACCTAGTTTGGATGCAACTGCGGTTGCTCTTGGTAAAGTCGAAAATCTTGTTACAACGGTGTTCTTACTGCCTGGACAACAAGGCCATATAGCTCCAGGTGATACTTTGGATCGTCTTGAAAGAAGATTAATAGCAAGTGCTTCTCGTGACAATAATTGGAACAGGCTTTTGAAAATATTACTTCCTAGGAATAGTTTAGAACTCCAAATACCTAAATTTACTCATAGATCTGTCATTAATGCAACAGCAGCTCTTAGAAGAATGGGTTTCGATAGGCTGTTCACCGAACAAGCTGATTTAAAGGGCATCAATGGAATTGGAAATCACTTACATCTATCCGACATACTACAGGTTAGGATTAATTATTTTTTCATCTATCGAATCTATTTGTTCTTTTAACAAGACGACTCTTTTACGTCTTTACTTTCTTATTATATTTAATCTGCCTTTCTTTTAGATTTCACTTTCATTAAAATGTTTTTATTTTATTCCTATGTAGATAGATTTTGTACATACTCAAATGTATCTTTTTCTTTTTGTTTTTTTTTTCTTTTTTTAAGATTAATTTGTTCGGCACGTGTGGCGATGAGAATCCAACGAATGGAAGACATCACATGGAAACGTATCCAGCGACCCCAATAAAAAGAGCTCGTTTATATGAGAGAATTTCTGTAAATTCGAACAGTACGGTCCTAGATACAGATCGTCAATCTAACCCCCTAGATTACTTAAAAGTAAATACTTCGAAATCGATGTTCGGTAAGACCGATAAAAGAAGAAAGCGACATGCAGATAATGCTAAGGTAATGATGAGATCGGAAAGATCGCGATTGAAACTCGACAGGCCTTTCTTATATTTCGTACGTCACAATCCTACTGGTTTGATACTTCACATGGGAAGATTCAATCCAAGACTTTTGCCCTAGCTCGTCTACAATATCGTTCATGGAAATACGACATTTATCTTGATCGAACACCATCGTTATGTAGTATCATTATCGTATATGTTGGTTTTCGATCGACACGTCGAATAATTTTTATTGTTAATTTAAGATGCGACAATGCTTAAAAGCAACTCGATGTATATTATAGCAAAAAAATAATTAAGTATTATAAAAAAGAAGTTAGTCAAATGCAATAATATAGATTGCGACCTTATTATCATTCGTAATTATTAAAAAATAATTTTATAAAATATGCAATTTTTCTGTGGTGCAATAGAAAAATAATAGTTACATATTTAGAATAACCAAACTTTACAATGGAAATATCAAAGTATTGAAATAAACGTAAAGTCGTAAGCATGTTAAATACGTAACTTTTGTAATCATTACAATGGAAAAATTGTATTTTTTAATATAATCGCCTAATAGTTGGAAAAACTAATTATTTACAAAGTTGCTTTTTATACCCTAAAACTTGCTATTATGACTCAGGACAATGTCAAGACAGTCTTCTTATCGTGTCAACGTGACAATAACTGTTCTTAGCATAAATTATATCAAATACATCAAAGTAAATAAAACTTATTGAAATAAAATTGATAACTACAATATTTCATATAATATCAATAAAGTACATACCTTTGCTTTCTTTCCTGTAATAATTTAACTTCCTACGTTGATATTAATTACCGACTAAAGGTAAAACGTAATGATTAAAATTAAATATTTTTTACACGAGAATATTTTACCTGTAACCAAACTAATTATAAATGGAATGAAAGAAAAAAAAAAAAAAATAAAACAAATGATTCATTGTTTTTTAAATTGCTTTTATTTTTGTATCTTTCGATCAAATGCTGTGGGACTGAACATGCATAAGGAAAAACTTGTATGCTCTATAAGCAAACGAAAATTTTTCTGTTAGATACGAATTTAATATTCTTCAGCACCTTCTCCTTCACCTTCAGCAGAATCCATACCAACTTCCTCATAATCCTTCTCAAGAGCTGCAAGATCCTCACGTGCTTCGGAGAATTCACCTTCTTCCATACCTTCACCAACGTACCAGTGAACGAATGCTCTCTTGGCATACATAAGATCGAATTTATGATCGAGACGTGCCCATGCCTCGGCAATGGCCGTCGTGTTGGACAACATACAGACCGCACGTTGTACCTTGGCCAAGTCTCCACCGGGTACGACAGTTGGTGGCTGATAATTTATTCCAACCTTGAATCCAGTTGGACACCAATCAACGAATTGAATCGTACGTTTGGTTTTGATAGTGGCAATAGCGGCATTTACATCCTTAGGTACAACATCACCTCTGTATAACATACAGCAAGCCATGTATTTTCCATGTCGTGGATCGCATTTTACCATCTGATTGGCTGGCTCGAAGCAAGCGTTTGTAATTTCTGCAACGCTGAGTTGTTCGTGATACGCCTTTTCCGCAGAAATAACCGGTGCGTATGTTACCAGCGGGAAATGAATTCTTGGATAGGGTACTAAGTTGGTTTGGAATTCAGTTAAGTCGACGTTGAGCGCACCATCGAATCGTAAGGATGCAGTAATCGAAGAAACAATTTGACCGATCAAGCGATTCAAGTTGGTATATGTAGGTCTCTCGATGTCCAGGTTACGACGACAGATATCATAAATAGCCTCATTATCAACCATAAATGCACAATCGGAATGTTCGAGCGTGGTATGCGTAGTTAAGATGGAATTGTATGGTTCAACCACGGCGGTAGAGACTTGAGGAGCAGGATAAATAGCGAATTCTAATTTAGACTTCTTTCCATAATCGACTGATAATCTTTCCATCAAGAGAGATGTGAATCCTGAGCCGGTGCCACCTCCAAAGGAATGGAAGATGAGGAAACCTTGTAATCCAGTACATTGATCTGCCAGTTTTCGGATACGGTCTAGGACGAGGTCAACGATTTCCTTGCCAATTGTGTAGTGACCACGAGCATAATTATTAGCAGCATCCTCCTTGCCCGTGATCAATTGTTCTGGATGAAATAGCTGACGGTATGTGCCTGTGCGGACTTCATCTAAAATTGGATAATGATACAAGTTAAAGAAGAAAATTTATAAAATTTAGGTAAAAATAGAATAACAACTAAAAAGAAACAAGAAAGAAAGAAAATGATTTTTGATTAATACGTACCAACAACAGTAGGTTCCAAATCAATGAAAACTGCTCGTGGTACATGTTTGCCTGCGCCAGTTTCGCTGAAGAAAGTATTAAAGCTGTCATCGCCACCTCCGATAGTCTTATCGGAAGGCATCTGACCATCGGGCTGAATGCCATGTTCCAAGCAATACAGCTCCCAGCAAGCATTACCAATCTGTACTCCAGCTTGTCCAACGTGGATTGAGATACATTCACGCTAAAGAAACATTAAGAATTGTAGAAACTCTAGATCGTATAATAGTACTATGATATTAATCATTCTCTATGCTTGTGATCTTATATTTACTTTTTAATTATTTTTATTTTTCTATCTTCTACATCTTTCTTTAGTCATCTTTTTGACCTTGATGAAAATTATATTCTAATTCATCATAGAATTATTAAATTATAATTCAAAATAGAAAACTAATGGTTGCAAATTTATATTATATTCATGAAAAATAATAAAAACGTAAAAGATATAGAAACATCGAAAAGAATGGATGAATTCACAATGGACGCCATGAGAATGAGTCATCACCAAACGGAAATACTAAAATGGATTTCATAGCAAATGTTTGAAAAAATTTATAAACGCATATTTTAATTATCAATAATACTTATAGCAATATATTTTATAAAATAATATATTCCGATTAATGCACACAACATCGTATAATAGTAAATGAACTATGATTATATTTTTTAAATAACACGATAATCCTTTTACGATATTTTATTTCTTTGAATAATACAAAGCTTAGAAAAATGAAATAAGGATCATAAAAAGTCAATAATTAATTAAAATGATAAAGGGCGGTGCCGGCCGGCAAGTAAAACAAAATGGCTACCGAATATTTTTCGAGAATATGACGCGACACGATTAGCAAACCACTTCGATTAAATAAAAAATTAATAGATACGGTTTTATATACTTACCATTTTGAGATTTTAAAGTTTTCGTTGATAAAAATCTAAGAAGAATTCGTCAGACTTGGTCGGTCGATAGTTGGCGAAAGCAAGTAATGAAGCCTCAGCTAACAACTAAACGACAACTTTCGTCGAACACCCAACGAATAATGCGCGAAGATGCGCCGCGGCGGCTCTTTATACCATCCGTGATCGACTGTTATAGGGTACGCTGATTGGTTGTTGCTATCCTCACCACCTCTTGCGATTGGTTAGAATGAAACCGCAATACGCAACGATAAGCGTTGCTAAACAGAAAATATAGTGCGACAAAATATAATCGATAAATGTCTATTTATTGTAATTATATAAAATTGACTAATTAATAAACTATGTAATAAAATGATTTATTGTCAATCTAATTATCTAACATCTATCTAAAAGCAGTGATTTCCTATTTATTACCAATGGCAATAAATTATATGCACTCTGAAAACGATTTTCGCCATATTTGGAATGTATGTACGTTGAGCGACGAAGCAACAGTGTGTGATATATGCTTGTATCCCATAACATACATTCAACATTTCGTTTAATGGGAAGTCGTACACGAACTCTCAGTATTGATTTTTCCAAAGATATAGTAGATGCATTCAACGGACATGCCAGCTCGTTAATTATATATAACATACGATATTTATTAAATAAAAAGGGACAAAATCCCACACGCATACGTCTTTTTTTTTCTTCCTCTTGCAGTCTTATTTGAGTACGTATTTTAAGACATATGACTCATACACATTTTCGAAAGAACTTTTGTCTTATAATGATACTGATTATATTTCCTAACGTTTCATATTTTGTATTTATGAAGACATTTATCGTCAGTTAACAAAAGTACAGAAAAATATGCACGTTTGTTTAAAACATGGTAAGAAGCATACGAGACAACAGGAAAATATGGGCGTGTACCTGAACTCAACGAGGTATACACACTGTAAAACATATTGATCGGCCGTGCATGACGTTCTCCTTTACGCATACATAATAATGAAAATCTTTTATAAAAACTTTTCGATAGATCCTAAATGCGCTTGTTAAATAATAAATTGGAAATCGTTAAACAATTGTTAATTAAATTGATATTTTGTATGGACAAAAAAAAATAGACAAATATTCAAATGTTTCAATGCCAACTTGTTGAAAAGTTTGTTTTCCTCTTATATTGTTAGTCGATTGCCGATGTCTCGGACGTTATGTTAATACTGAACTTAATAGTCTAACGAAAATATAGTATCGTATCCTTATCCCCCCTTTAAAACAAATCGGTTAAGTGTCTTGATTGGGAAACACATTCTTATACAATAAGAAAATAAAACTTCAAGAAATAATATTTTATCTTTAATCGTCAAATTATTTTATTTGACCGTTTTTATAACATACATTTTTATGTAAGTTTATGTATTACTTTATTTGTAAGTTATATAGAAATGCACGTTATTTGTTCTCTTATCAGATGTGAACACAGATGTTTATGTAGGTACTTGTCATCAGAATTAAATTATAGATACTTTTCAATGAATTTAACATAATCTGAATTACAAGTGCCTCTGTGTGAATTTTTAAAAGCTTTTGAGTCAATGTTAATGAATTTTCTATATACTTACAGATATATATATAAAAAAAAAACAAAGAGGTAAACAGCTTCAAAAAGATATTTTATGTTTATAAACGTGGGAATTATTAACGTATAAATATATATTCGAATTTTTTTCACGAAGAATTTATTCTCAAAGATGTAATTTAAATTATATATATTTTTACATGCATAGACATATATTTTATATTTTAAAGTATTGTCTTACAACAGCATATTTAGATCATTAAATCGCTTACGTCACTTCTGATATCATAAATAATATCAATATATGTAATATCAAATTATTAACATGTTTATTCAGTGTGAATTTGAAATATTGATAGATCGTTATTATGTCATCATTAACATGTAAAATAACAAGATTTAAAAAACCAATATGTTAATGAACATTGTTTTGATCAACCGAATGTTATCGTTGATATGTCATGTTGAAATAAAAATTACATTTTCATTTCAAATGAAACTACATACTTGTACTAATATTTTTATTATTATCACTTCAAATTAATAATTATTCAATTTTACCGCCATTGTATATATCGTACTTACATGATGCTAACAGGTAGTTTACTACGTGAAACAACAACATAAATAAAGGTCCAAAGCAGTAGCAGCAAATAGAGCCTTCAAATGTTCAATGCATTCGTTAATTATTTGACTAAGTGAAAATATAAATAAATATTTTTATCTACGCAATCATAGAAATATGTTTGTTTTGCACATGATACAATATTATACTATTTTATAAATATTTCATAGTATGTACATAACCTTTTAGCATACTGTCAAAACACTTTAGAAATTTTAAAACGTCTATATATTTTTCTTTAAAGATTTTTATAATGTCGTGCAAGCAGTTTTAACAATTTTATATTTAAAATACGAATATAATGGGTCGAAGTCATACCCCGTCGCCTGGAAGACGACGTGATCGTTCCAGGGAACGTGACCGCGACAGAGATCGTCGAAGACGACGATCTCGCGAAAGACGTCGGAGGTATGTACAAAAATGGTAAGAATAATAAATTGATTTTTTATCATTTTTGTATTCGATAAAAGTTAATATAATGTCGATTCCATCGTAGATCTGCAGAACGTGACAGAGTAAAATCAAGAGATAGAGATAGAGAACGAGATCGTGATCGAGACAGACATAAACGATCATACAGTAGATCTAGATCTAGAGAACGAGACAGACCTAAGCCTAGAGCCAAATTATCTACGGCAGAACGTCCTGTTATCACAGGTATAATGAGGATAAAAATAATTTTATAGTAATAATAAAAACATATTTTTTCTATATTTTATGTAAATATCTGTAATTATGGTAAGCGTGATTTTTCTTATAGAGGCTGATCTTCAAGGAAAAACACCGGAAGAACAAGAGATGATGAGAATGATGGGTTTTTGTGGTTTTGATACCACCAAAGGTAAGAAGGTAGAAGGAAATGATGTAGGCGCAGTACATGTTATTCTAAAAAGAAAGTACAGACAGTACATGAATAGAAAAGGAGGTTTCAATAGACCACTTGATTTCGTGGCATGAATATCTCAACTTTTTAATTTTCCAATTGCTAATATTTTTTTTAATTCAGTTCTTTATAATTAAGAACATATAATTCTCTTATATCCTCTTTCTTTTGTTTAAAGTTTTCACAACATGAATAATTTATTTCATTGAGAACATACAATGTATGAATTAATAATGCGGCAAAAAAGTTTATAGACACAGTTTAAGTACATTCTTGCTCTCAATTATATTTTATATAATTAAAAAAATAATAATATACATTTTCATATCAATTATAAAAATATGGAGTTAAGTTTTATTAAATCATACATACAAAAGTAAAATTAAGATATCTCATATGATTCTCTAATACTTGTTCATTTAATAAAATTTATCAAATTAAAAAGCCTCTAAAAACTATTTATGACTCAGTCAAAGAATGTTCTGTTACGGATGATGAATTATTATCCAAATCATGTGTAAGACTGTTATTTATATTTGTGACATTAGTGCGTTGCGTGCTTAACTATTAAATAGAAAATAAAAAAGTAATTGTTAATTATTGATGAATTAACAGATAATACATGATATAATTATTTCCTTACCATACTGACATCTATTTGTTCAAGAGATTCTGTTAATCGTGAATCTAATATTCGGAAATCACGTGTTACGCTATGTTTGATATAATTTTCTAAAGGTACCTAATAAAACAAAAACCATTATAAATAATTCAGTTTATAAGATTCTATAAAAATAAATTTGCATTTTACCCCTGTTTTTTTTGCAAGGAGCAGTACTTCTTTACTAAACTGTTCAATCTCATAAACAACACGTGGTATTAATTTAGTTTCTTTTAAAATATGATTTTTTTGTATATTTGTATCTGTCTTTAATCGTTTTTTATCTTTACTTTGACTTTCCTATACCAATGGAATTAATAAAAAATATATATAAAAATATGAAATATTAAAACTTTTATATATACATATATTATTAATTTTTGAATATTACGTACCTCTATGTGGGTTACTAAATTATAAAAAGTAGATTTTAATGGTTTTCCAGCTAATTGTATCACCTGAATAAACCTAAAAAATAATAATCAAAAAGAAATTTATAATTTATAACAAAATTGGATTATTTATAATTTGTAACAAACTCCAAACCCTCACCTAACATCATGAAATGCTGCATTTCCACTGCTCGATTTATTATAAAAATATTTAGTAAGTTTACTCAATATGTTATACAATTGTTGTAAGTTCTTAAATATCGAGTTGGTAGATTGACCTGGATCGATAGATATGTTGGCCAATGTATAAAGTATTTGAATGATATAAGACAATTGTCTGCATAAACTGCGTTCTTTTTCTACTAAATCTTCTGCATCTATTACGATATTAGAGAAATATTCATTACTAAAAATCAATCAACATTTATTAAATAAATCAATACGTACGTTGTTCATTATTAATATTAACAACATTCATTATTGCAAGTTCAGCTTTCAAACGTTCTAAAAACCAAGACACATTATCTAATTTATTTTTTATGTAATGATTAAGTACGCTATAAGCTTGCACAACTGTATTTTCGTTTATAATGTTATATTTTTCATTTTTTGATGTTTCAATCTGTAGTAAAGATACGTGTAAGAGAAAAAACAAAAAAATTTTATTTAATATTTCAATTCTATAGATTATAATTAATGTAAATGTGTAAAGTTAACGAACCTTATGTATCATACCCAGTTTCTCTGATGTTTCCAGACAAATATCATTTAATATTTCTCCATTGTCTTTATCGCAGTCTTCTATCCATAAAAGGATTTGAAGGATCAAAATAGCTGCAGAAACACCGATGCCTTCCATTTGTGAACATTTACTGATCCATTCAAAAATCTATAATTTAGTAGTTAGTTAACACAATCGAATGAAACATAACATAAATATTTAATATAATGTTATTAATAAAATATCATATGTGAAAATGTTAATAGTAATGTGTTTCTACAAACTTTTTTAGTATTTTTTTCATGAAAGTTCAATTGATGCACAAATTGTTGTATAATTTCTAAAAGTATTAATGACATTTGTTTATAAAATTCAGGCTCATCAGAATCTTGATCAAAAGAAATTTTCAATGGAGCTTTGAAAGACAAAATAAATGTTTCCAATTGCATATTAAAACTTTCCATTGGCTTTTCATTACCTAATGACAAACAAAATATTTAAGAAATGTAAAAATAAAAATGTAAAAATAAGTTAAGCAAAAAGACATTTTGTTTTTACTTTTTCTATTGTAGAAAAATACATACACATACTATAAATAAATTGTGGCAATTGAGAAGAAAACTTTGAACATATTAGACAACAATATTCCTTAAAACACTGTAAAGCTAATAACGTTCCCTGTTGATCATCATTAAATGCATTTCTAAATTCCAAAATTACATTTTTATAGAGTAATCTATAAGAAAATAATTCTTAAATTAGTACATGCGAGATAAAAGTAACACAGAAAGTATTGCACATATTCAATGTTCTTACTCTCCAATTTTATGATATACTTTTATATATTGTTTTTTGTGTTTTTCAAAGTCTGGAATACTTAATAATATTATTGTTTGAAAAGTAGAAATGCAACTTTGTAAAATATAATGATAAAAGTCTCTATGTGATCTTAAAATCTTAGCTTCATCATTGTCTGACCACTTGTCTCTACAAAATAACAATGTTAATGCTTGATTTACTTTCATTTCTTTTTTTAATAAAATATATATTAAATATTACTAACAAATAATGTAGTTCTAAAATTTTACACACTATGTTTAGACTTATATTTCCATTTGGCAATTTTATAATATCTGAATAGCTTTTCTTCTTAAATGTAGTGTTATTTGCATCTTTATTTTTTTTATTTTTATTTCCCTTCTTTTTTCTTATATTCTACAATAAATATAAATTTAGCATATAATATATATTATCATATGAAGAGTATGACGTTTATAATTTAATATTCATCGTATAAAAATGCAGCCAGAAAATATTGATATTATTTTCAAAATTACCTTAATAATGTCCATTAACCTATTATATCCTTTAAAAAGACCATATATACTTTTTGCTATATTTTTACTTTCATTAACCCAGGAATTAACTCTGAATGATATTAAAGATTCATATATGCCTATCATTTCTTTTAAATTATGTAATTTTTGTTGTGATTTTGGTGTATTATCAAGTAAATTCATTGTATCATCCTATAAGATTAAGAATTAATATTATTATGCACAATTCTTATCATTATAAATCTTATTCCTTTAAATGAATAATTATTTGTAAAAACTGCTTTTAACCAAAGAGATATTCATACCAAATTTAAATGTTCCGTTTCAGTTCGTGCCATCCTTATACACAGTGACTCTAGAATGATAGCAACTTTATTTAAAATTTCCCAATCTTCTAAAGCTGTTTTTACATAAATTGCTTGTAATACAGAAATCAATGTGGCTATAGGCTCTTTTGGAACAATTTGTATATCGTTTATATCAGCACTTAGATCAATCTTTAATGGAGGTAATACATTTTCATCTATTTCAAAATAAAGATTCAATTGACCAAGTAATATTTCCACTATGTATTCCGATAGTTCAGGATTCTTAATTACAACTTCATATAATCCTGAAAAGAAAATATATTATTACATATTATGCACATATATACATACTCTTTATATTTATGATTACTTTATATTATTATATATATTCTACCTTCATATAAATGTGATCTGACTTCATATTCTTGAGTAAAACACTTTTTTAATATATTTAATATGTCAACACATAATCTTTTATTGCATCCATAATTATTTCCTATATTATTGTGATTTTCTAAAGTTACCTAAAAAATATAATAAGATTTAATACAAAATAACGTTATAACATTATAATAATAATACATTGATGGATTTTAATTAGAAACATATAATAGTCTATTCTTTGTATTTACCTGAGTTAATATGGATGTCGAATTAGATAATGTGATAGACATGGAGGAATTTCTAGAATAATCATTTGAAAGATTTCTTCTAGAATTCATTTTTAATATTTTTAATAGTTCAAGAAAACCAGTTACTGCCATTTTACGTGTACATATTCCTTTTCTATAGAGAGCCTTTCTCAATGATAACATAAGATTGTCTTTTACATTAGATGAAACATGTATCAATGGCAAAACTGCGTAAAGAATTTGTACAGCAGCAGTACCAGGTACACATAGCAATTGATCAAGAAGAGTAATTATATAAGTCTGAAAATCGAGCACATTCATTGCTAATTTAGAGCACATATATGCCAAACAATCTGAAAATAAAAATCAACAAATCATTTATTATTATTCTGCAATATTGAAAAATATTTTTATATTACTTTCTTTTTTTGAAATAAAATATCATACCTGTGTACTGCGATATTAACAAACCACCTGCCACTATTTTATCAGTTAATAATTGAAGTACTGATCCACATATCTCATGTCTTTTCTTCATTAATCTTTGAAGTATCTGTATACCAATGCTATGTGTTGGATATTTATTAACTTTTCCAATTGTATGTTCTGTATCCATAAGCACAAATCCTAACTCCATAATTCCTTTTAATACAACATGACGGTCTTTATCACTAGAATTAATTAATAGAATTAATTAATAAAAAAATTTTATTTTATGTATTCATAGGAATATATATATATATATATATATATATATATACATATTCTTGTATATATATGCATACCTATTTGCTATAACTTGATCTATAATATTCATAATATCACAATTATTATTCATTAAAGATTTTAACCAAGCACTATTCTTACATTTTTCATCATCTTGCATTTTTCTTAAAATCGTCTGATGAAGCATTTCAAAAACCTATTTTTATACATTTTTGAAAATTTAATATGAGAGAGAGAGAGAGAGAGAGAGAGAGAGAGAGAGAGAGAGAGAGAGAGAGAGAGAGAGAGAGAGAGAGAGAGAAAGAGAGAGAGAAAATCCATTTAACAACTTTGATATCAATTCATAAATAATTGAAGCATAAAGTTTTTGAAATTTTCAATAGAAAGAAAATAAATGTATATATCATGCAATAAAAAGTATTTACTTGTTACCTGTTCTTCATGTACACTGGAGATTATAAATATTGTAGATAAAATGAAAGGTTCTAATACATATTCTGGTACTATAGAAAATTTTTTAAATGCAAGTATCAAATCTTTTATACATTTATAATGTAATTGTGAGGCATGATGTATGTGAAACAGTACATTACTTTCTGCATCTTGTATTTCTTTTAAACTTGTTGTACCTATAAGTATAGAAATATACATATAAGAAACTCATAATATATATATATATATATATATATTATCTATAAACTTTTTATTAAAAAAATATTTAAAAAATAATACTACTTACTAATATCGTCTAAATTATTCTCTTTTTCTTTACTATTTGCATTTGAATAATACGATGCAAAATATTTACGCAGTGATACAATCAAATGTATACAACTAGAATT